AGCCAGCGAATGCTGGCTGGGGAATTCAGGGAGTTGAAGTCCAGACATCTTCAAGTTGCCAAGGTTGAGAAACACTGGCCTAGGGTTTCCTGCCTAGGCAGGGGGTTGGACTAGAAGACCTCCAAGGTCCCTTCCAACTCTGCTATTTATTGTATTGTATTTTTCAGCGCCTAGCCAAAACAGCACACCGTCTTCTCTCTCTCTCTCCAGGAGGGGGGGAGCAAGGCATCCTCCCCCCTCATACACAGCAGCCTTGCCATGCACCCGGCCCCCTTTCCAAATGCCAAAACCCAGAATAACCGAAAATGCTTGCGTCACAAACAATCTCGGAAGCTTTCAGCAAAAAAAATTCCACGGCGTTAATAGGATTTGGTTCAAAACCCAAATCCGTTTTCTCTTTCAGGGACCGGTTAAATTCCGCCTTCCTCTAAGCCTACAAAGAGTTAGAGACAAAGGAAATAGTACACTTGTCTTTTTTTGGGGAACGCTGCCAAGAACTTTGCTCCGTTTGACAGCCACCGGGGAGAAAAAAAAGGAAGATCAGCAGAGCCTCTTTTGACCTGAATGATATCGACTTTCTTGAAAAGACAGCAGATATGAAAGCCAAAACAAAATTATTCATTGTACGATGGGCGAAAGCAGGGCAGGGAAGACCTCCTTATCTGTGCTGGAATTTGGAATATGCTTATAAAAATAACTCGACCGAGCCGAGTCCCCAAAACGCTAACGAATTCCTGGCACTCCGACAAATCAGCCATCAGCAGACATGTAGAGATGAACAACATGTACATGCCATCCAAAAAGAGACAGCTAAATAGCAGATAATAATAACAATAGCACCCAGATATAAGCGGAGATTTAACACCAGGAATAATATGGGACCAAGAAGGAAGCTGTAAACAATACCCCAATCGAATCAGACAAGCCGTTAAGCAGAGCTGAGCTTAGTGGTTTTCTTGCAGACGTTTGATTACCAAAGTAGGTAACATCATCAGTGCTACAAGGGTTTGTAAGGAGGAGGACTGTGGGGTCCTTGGTGCTCTCTGAGTTTGGTGGCTTTCTTGCAGATGTTTCATGACCCAACTAGGTAACATCATCAATGCTAGGAAAGAATGGGGTTTGTGGCGAGGGAGAGGAAGGGAGGGGGGAGGAGTGGGAAGGGAGGAAGGGGGACGAGGAGGAGGAAGAGGAGGAAGGCTGTGGGGTCCTTGGTGCTCTCTGAGCTTGGTGGTTTTCTTGCAGACGTTTCATGACCCAACTAGGTAACAATAGCAGTAGACTTATATACCGCTTCATAGGCCTTTCAGGCCTCTCTAAGCGGTTTACAGAGAGTCAGCATATTGCCCCCAACAATCTGNAGTTTGCATCAGTTTTTAAGAAGATGTTGGATAACCATTTGTCTGAAATGGTGTAGGGTTTCCTGCCTAGACAGGGAATTGGACTAGAAGACCTCCAAGGTCCCTTCCAACTCTGTTATTCTATTCTGTTCTAAATATGAGAGTTGAAGGAGGATTTATCTGTAACACACACACACACACACAGACAAACACACAGACAAACACACACACACACACAGACGCAGTCATGTCTCTTTTTTTCAGATTGAAATGGTTACTCCCTAAACTTCTCTCAGCTACCTCTGAATGTACGAACAGCTACTTGGCCATACATTTTCCTATCTGCCCAGTCCTTACATTATGAACAAAAAAGGTTATTTGAATACACAGAAATGTGTTTTTCCAAACACTTAATATTTCATGAATAAGGAGTATATTAAAATCAGTCCATAAATATTATAGTTGAAGAGCATACTTATTAAAGAACATAACTAGAAAGGGATTATTATATATTTAGGATTAGAATGATAAGAATTCCATCTTAGTTTTTTTTAGAACTTCTCAATTCTTTTCCTAACTACTATGAGAATAAAAAAAAAACTTGTTTATTGTGGGGTGATTTTTAATAATTGTTAGTTAAGCTACAAAAGTGTAAATAAGTCCCTTATGAGAATAAGGAACTTATTTCTTAGTTGCTTTTTGGTAGACAATATGAAAATTGCATTTAAAAATTAAACTTTGTACAATTTATTGTAAATCAGTGTGTTTGGGAATTAAGAACCAAATCTGGCAGGTTATAAGAAATATCTTTATAAAATATAAAATTATGCAGGAGGCATAATTTTAACATTATCTTCTAATTAAGTCATATTAAAACCATTCTGAATATTAGATTTCACCAATAAATCAAATCTGTATCTAGAAATACAATACTTTGTGGATTTAAGGCAACCTTCCCAAAAGTAATGAACCCAAATGTACTGAGATAGACATTTTTGGAATTTTTCTACAGAATGTTGTTGGAAGCAAGTAAGCACATAGGAATGCAAGAGACAGCACGGGTTTTAGGATGTTATTATGCAAGTGATATGCATTATGTAATTTGTATCAGTATCATCCATGTGATTAGCACAATGATGCATATGATGTCAGCGTGTCTTAAAATGGATACCTTCATCCGGAAACTGCTGTCCTTGTATATTAAAGAGTTGCCGGGTCAAAGCAATCTGATTTAAAGCTAAGAATTATTAAGAACTATTCTTAATTTAAATTTAAGATACTGTTTCATTCTAATACTTCAGTTTCAATATTCTACTCCAGAATAAAATGTTAAGTTTGAGAAAATGTAGATGTTGTAAATGCTCATATCTTTTAGATTGAATGACAGGGGACACAATAATTTGCTATAGCAAGAAAAGAGTTCCCATACAGCAGGATTTGCAAACTGTTAGCCCTGAGCTCTTCCAGTTCTGATCATTAAAAAGAGACAATAGGAAACACTTAAAATGAAACCAGAAAGAAAAAGAAAAGTCTAACCATTATAAAGCCAGCAGAAAACAGAAAATGACACCTCTCATTCCATTGTTTGTAATCCAACATTTTATACAGACAAAAATAAAGTATATTGGGGCATTCTGACAAATACTACAAACATTCAAACGTTTTGTTTTTATGCAACAACTGTGTAAGAGGAACACACAATTATGTAAGTTCCTCCTATTTCCCCCCCCATAAGCCCTTTTCTGCTCTCTGTGAACACAGTCTAACTGGCTTATATTGTAGGTTTCAACTGAGAATGGCTTCAATATATTTATATTTAATTTTAAAATTGTTGGCCTAATATGGCTATACGTTGATCATTACAATAATGGTTTGAAAACAAAATAAAAATGACAAATGACACAAAATTGCTATGATATTTAAGGTGCTTTCTTTTTTCTTTTTTTAAGGAGTTATCACTTTTCATAGCCAGTTCATGGTTCTGACATGTTCTATGCCTTTTGCTTGTCATTCTTTCATATATAGTCTATCAAGAGAATATTACTTCAGACACAGAGCTGAGTAAATTGTCATATAAAAACATTTGGAAACGAGGAAATGATACTGCTCGATTATTATTGAGATTTGAAAATTATATTAAATGCTTAAGCATGGTGATGTATCAATTATTTTTGTTTCTTTTTCTTTGAATGCTGTCAAAGCACAAACAAATTACAAATTAAAAAGAGATTGTTCCACAATGGGATTTCCAACTTCACTGTGTACTGCTGCTTTGTAAAATTGAGATTTAATTTATGATCCCGTATGACCATGTTCCGCAGAAAGTTGCCACATGTCTTGAGTCGGTTCTAATGCTTGCTGTTCTCCAAGGAATAAGCCGATAAATATTTATACAGCAGTCTTATATACTTGCGGAAGGAAACAAGTACAGGACTGGGAGTTATCAAGTCATATATTTTAATTTGCAGCTGCCAGAAGATGTGGCAGTAGTAGTAGCAGAAGAAGAAGAAGCAACAGAAGCAGAAGTAGTGGCAGTTGTGGCTTGACTGCCAACATAGAGTGGGTCCAAGCAGGCCACTTTAGCTGCAAAGAATGAGTGGATGCAATGCAGAACTGCAAATAAATTTGAAAATTCCAATTCCTGAAAGTGAAAGCAAAATGATCAGGTATGAGAGACAAACCCATTTATTTATCATATATTGTGATAAAAGAACCAGTTGCAGAGACACAAACACAAAGGCTTAGGAAAATCAAATATATTCATAACACACCCAGTTCTACTATTCATTGTGAAACTAAATGTTTTTGTCTTACTACAAAATTACTTTCTTTGCACCCAGATTACAAAACTCAGTTTTTATAATTTTAAAATATAAATTTGTGTTCTGTTCCCCACTCCTTCGCTTGTTAACAGACGACAGGCAAACAAAACTTAAAAGGACTCTCTTTATCAGTTCTCGGTTCAAACTGGCTGCGNCTGAAAGATAATTTCTCCCCAAATGGTGTTTCCAAGTAATGTCCTTTTTCCCAGGACATCTGAAAGATAAACATTTTGAGGAGAAGCTTTCAATGTTCCCTTTCATGGGTCGTTGAGCCAAAAATCATCCCTTTCCGAGAAAAACAGGGGGGGGGAGCTATACGTGACAAGAGGCAAGCAAATTCCAGATGTTTTAAGGTAAAAGTTCCCCTTGCACATCTGTGCTAGTCGTTCTCGACTCTAGGGGGCGGTGCTCATCTCTGTTTCAAAGCCGAAGAGCCAGCGCTATCCGAAGACGTCTCCCTGGTCATGTGGCCGGCATGATACAACGCCGAAGTTGCCTGGAACACTGTTCCCTTCCCACCAAAGGTGGTTCCTGTTTTTCTACTTGCATTTTTCACGTGCTTTCAAACTGCTAGGTTGGCAGAAGCTGGGACAAGTCACGGGAGCTCACTCTTTTAGGCGGCACTAGGGGTTCGAACCGCCGTTCGAGCTTGTCGAACTGATCCGGAGGCAGTGCGTAACTCCCAGATGGCCCTGGCCCCCTCTCTGCCTCCGACGCAGAGCCCTCCTCAGAGCCTTCCCCAGACTCCAGGACTGGCCCATCTCCCTCCCCAACCTCCTCACTGTCCGACTCTGCTGCCAGCTTTGCAGGACACCGACAGGCCACAACAAGGGGAAAGGATTCTAGCAGAAATGTAGGGAGTCTCACCGTCCTTTCCTAGAAGCCAACGGCCTTCTCCTTAGCTTATCGGCGTCAAGTTTCTATTTTTGCAAAACACACAGCTATGCACTAAGCAATTTTCCCATCCTGGCAGCATGTCACCCGCAAAGACAGCACACGATCTGTCGCTTTGCAGGAGGAGAATTGCTGGTTGCGCACATCAAGGGAGTCAATTCAGGTTAAGAAAACGCAGGGAGGTCGACACTATAGGGAGTCCTCGACGTACGACCACAGTTGAGGCCCAAAATTTCCGTCGCTAAGCCGGATGTGTGGTGAAGTGACTTCCGCCCCATTTTACAGCATTTCTTGCCACCACGGCTGTTAAGTGAATCACTGCAGTTGATAAGTGAGTCACACGGTTGCTAAGTGAATCTGGCTTGTCAGAAGGTTGCTAAAGGGGAATCACATGACACTGCGACCGTCATAAATACGAGTCGCTTGCTGAACGGCTGAATTTTGATCACACGATGCTGCAGTGGTTGTTAAGTGTGAAAAATGGTCATTAAGTCCCTTTTTTCAGTGCCGTTGGGAACTTCGAGGGGGTCACTAAAATGAACTGTTGTAAATCGAGGACAATCTGTATTGCAGGCAGTGAGTTATTTCCGCTAATTGTGTTTGGTTTGGTTCATGGAAGACGAGATGAAGGGGTCAATGCAAGAATTGATGGAAATCCTTAGGGAGGCCCTGCATTTATAAATGCAGGTAGTCCTCAATTTACATCCGTGTGTTTAGTGACCGTTTGAAGCAATTTTTTTTCTTTCTGCACTTTCGCTTCCTTCCATCCTTCTCTCTCCTTCCTTCACTTTTTGCTTCTTCCTTCCTTCCCCTTCCTTTTCTTTCCTTCCCACTCCTTTCTTCCTTCTCTCTCCTCCTTCCTTTTCATTCACTCCCTTCCTTCTTTCCCTGTCATATAGAGCCGAGGTGGCGCAGTGGGTAGAGTGCAGTACTGCAGGCCACTTCAGCTGACTGCTAGATCAGCAGTTCGGCGGT